AGGAGTTATAACGATAATAAATTAATTAATTAATAACCAATAATGTCACTTGGTTGTTCAAAATGTATTTGCCCTAATATTGAAAATTACATTTAATGGAGCATCAAAATTATTTCAGATGTTTAAAATGTTACATGAAGAGCAAATACATAATTTTTCCTTAAATAGTTTGAAATTATAGTGGTATAAATTTAAGGAAAACCTATTAAATTATCAAATATTTAGAGCATTGATTTTTGAGGGAGAACATGGAGAGACAGAAACTATTCAACCCTGTTAATACTGTTGATGTTTATGTGTAAATTAATGCAACCATTCTGAAAGACAATATAGCCATAGCTTTCAAACTACGAAATGTGCATCCTTTTGTTCTGGCATTCTACTTCCTATTGTGGTGAGCTGGGTGATTTAGATTAACTTCCTCAGTCTCACTCTCACATACACACAATCTCAGAGCAACTAAAAGAATAAAAGAACAGGAAAAAATATTTTTTTAAACTTGTTTAGAAAGCAAAAGAGAGCTGCCAAGACACTGAAGGATTGGTAGGCCAAGATCCATGAAAAGAAAGAAACCAAAACGATCAGATCTGGGGGGGGGGCCTCTTTATCCTTAGTGACACTGGCTTTGGGCAGATGCTGCAAAGACTGAAAAATTAAATGGAGTCAGGAGAGAAAACATAGGAGCTCATGGGATGCCCAAGGAGAAAGGGCCCTGGAAACCCCCCATGCATAAAGGTAGGAACCAGTAAAGTGGGGACTAGAAATAAGTCCTTAAAAGAACTAGAGCTCAACTTTGGATCATTTTTCAGGTACAGATTTGATTAAGATGCTTCCCCACCAAGATTCCAAGAGATAATTAATCCCTAATGTTCTAAGGTATCTTTTATATATGAGAAATTTAACTTCTCTTCTGTATGTAGGATGGTCCTCACTACGTACCCTTCTTGGTAGAATTGAGAAAATAGTTACTTCAGTGATTTGGTGCAGGGCTTAATTCTGTCCTAGACTCTTGCTGCCAGTGGTTAGATTTGGTTATCTGGGGTCACTAATATCCCCTCATTACCACCCAGTTCCTGGAGGAAGATAACATCTTCTGAGGGTTTCAAATTATATCTACAGTTTCTTATGTACACTGATCAGCCTCCATTAAAAATAACCAAGTATATAAGGAGGTAACACAATCTGATATAATATTAAGATAAACAATGGGAACAAACCCATAGAGAGCCAAGTAATTGAATTTTTCAGACACAGATTTTTTTAAATGTTCTCACTGAAAACATTGAGCAGAAGCCTTGGAACTACAAAAAATCCATTAGGAAGTCTTGCACTGAAAAGCTATGATGACAAATTAAGAACTCAGTAGATGAATTTAATAGCCTGTTACAGCCAGAGGTAGATTTTGTAAACTGGAAATTAGAAAAAGAAAATAACCAGTACACTAAAGCATGTAAGGACAAAATGCAGATAAGAGCATAAGAACTGAGGGGAATGAGGCAAAAAGCTTGTGTGTGTGTGTGTGTGTGTGTGTGTGTGTAAAGAAATGGGAAAATGGAGCATAAGCAATATTTGAAGAGATAATGACTTTAAACTTTCCCAAATTGTTGAAAGATATTCATCCATAGATTCAAGAAATGCAGTAAATCTCACAAAAGATAAATCCTAGCCACGAGAATATTATAGTAAAACTGCGGAAAGACAAAACTAATGAGCAAAAAGACAATCAACTGAGTTCTCAACAGAAATGGTAGAAGACAAGAAAGACTAGCATGATGCCTTCAAGTGCTTACAGAAAATATAGGAAACTGATCATAAATGTATTCAATGACATTAATTACACTCTATGTTGTAATGAGAAGTTGGAAACACTTAAATATCCACAGAAGGGACTGGTTAAAAGTATTTAGTACATCTTTAGGTGATGATATGTAAAAATGTTCCAGATGTCTTCAGTCAGTTCAGTTCAGTCGGTCAGTCATGTCCGACATTTGCCACCCCATGGACTGCAGCACGCCGGGCCTCCCTGTCCATCACAAACTCCCAGAGTTTACTCAAACTCATGTCCATTGAGTCAGTGATGCCATCCAAC